TAAACGATCACAAAAGAGTCAAGGCGGAAACGCGGTGAAAGCTGTAACGTTTATTGAACAGAGGACATATGTTTGCAAATTACAGCGCTGCACGAGCACACAGTCCAGGGTTCATAATGCTGTTCCAATTCGGCTCTCCAAAGGGCCTTCTCACACAGTCCCTTTTTAAAACAGTAACTGAAAGGAAAAAGGTGTCAATTGCAGTTACATGCACAAAACCACATGGCAACTTTCATTTAGAATGAATCTCTGCTCTACTACTTAGATGGACGCAAGGTGATTCTCCAAGTTCATGCACACGTTTCTGTATGGTCAGAACTTTCCAAAGAATAATGGCTTTCGCAACCCATAGAGTATCTCAGGATAGTGTCGAGTTTAGCAAGCAGGGCAACAGCTTCAGTGAACAACAGAATTTCTAACATTTGCCCCAATCAATATCCTATCATTTTTGGAATAACAAGGGAAAGTTCATCTGACAAAGGACACGATACGGAATACACCTATAAAAGGTATTTCTCATCTCAAACAATGTTTAATAGTCGACTTCTTTCCTTTTGTTCCAGTGGAAGAAAGTTTGGTCAAATTGTCAAAAAAAATACCACCAGGTTCTTGAGGTAGACTTTAACCTCCAATTTTCCTCTAAAAGTTATCTTTTAACAACCAAAATTTTTTTAAAAACTTAATTTCCAGGAATTTAAACAATTTAAAACAAAATAACTATTTTTATAAGTAAAAAGACGTTATGCTGTTCAATTTTCTGAACTACCATTCTATCTCTTTTTTTTTTGCCTTTTATGGAAATATCTAAAATAGTGATCATGGGGTAGAGAGTTATTAGATTTTTATCTCCTTAGAGATTAATAATAGAAAACTGAAGAGGATTTTCTAATCAAAGAATCTGATAGTAAAAAACATCTGATGTAGGAACACTTAATTGATGACCACTGAGACTGCTAATAAGAATAAAACTAGAAAATTCTAGAAGAGAAAGCCTAGCTGATTCACTTTGCTCTGCACAACTTATCTGGTTTAATTTAAGACAGCATCTATGATGATTTTATTCTAAGCATAAGGTGCCAGCTGGTCTCTTCTAAGAATTCTGTCACTCTGCCCTTGGTCTGAATGGTGAACTGGCCACTTTAGAGGTGTAGCTGTTGCTCATTTCTTGCATATGTCTCTGGATATCATTTTCTACTCTTTATTCCTTATACACTTTGAAATGCAGAAATCCTCCACCTGTCTGAACATGATATTTTGACACGTAATTAAATATTACATGTAAAAATTAACCATTTTGTCGAAGAATCTAATTTTCTTCAACCTTCCTTTTTGCTACTGTTCAATGCCCATGCAAAGGACCTGTTTACAACACCCAGATTCTTCATAGAGGACAATCCAGACAGGCTTATCTCAGTTTGCTGGCAGGTGCATCCCAGTCACTTGCGCATCTGGTTTCTCTTTGCATAGAAAAGAGTTTGCCATCCACCATCATCTGCTTCATGTCTTGGCTGGATTTATCCCAGAAAAGGCTATGGGGGAATGCCCATTTGCACTCTTAATTTGTAAATCACAGTCATAAAATCAGAGGAAATGCATATCTGCCCCTCTCTAATTTGCACACTAAGTTTATAAATCTAAAGCTGTTTTAAAAAGGGCAACTTAAATAATACCTTTATATGTGTCTATGTGACAATTTCCCCAGACTTGAAAAATGTTGGCCTTAGCTATTCGCTCATTGTTTTTAAAAATCACATTCTTTTCATTCGATCAATAAACATTTACTCAACTCCTCCTGTGGGCAGGCACTGTAGCTCTCCTTTATCCTTCCTAAAAGAAAGCAAAGGGCCTTATTCAGTGGGTTTAAGGCATCAATAAGGACAATTTGTGCTTGAGTCAATTTATTCTTGAGTGTTCTAGTCAGTTTTAAGGTAATCTCTTTCATATAAGAGGAAAAAAAGAAGGGAAGGGAGCAAGGCACTGCGCACCTACTATGTGTCAACACCGAGCCAAGAACTGTGTGGGTGTATGTTGCAGAATTCTTAAGCCTCTTAAGAACTAAGGGAGGGTATGTATTCTTCCCATTTTATGGACAAGGATAAAAAGCTTTGATGAGTTTAATAATTGTTCAAGATCATTTCTCATGCTACATTCTTAGCTTATGTTCTTAACAGATTCGTGACAGGAAAAAGCTATCAATGTGATTCTAGAATTTGAACTCAGATCTGAGGAACTCCAAAATAAAAACTCAATGTTTATTGTTTCTGTTATTAATTTCACAACACCAAGATGCTGTAAATTTCTCTAGATCGAAAAACTGCTTGAGTACAGCTATTCTATGTTGCTGTAAATTTCTTTGTGAGGAAAGAGCCCTTAAAATCATGCATTCCCTATGCCAAGAATATGTGCGTAAAATCTTTCTTTCCTCACCTTAAAAATTTTGTTTTAAGATGAAATGAAGAAAGTGTTGCTATAATCCTCCCATTTCCTCAATATTAGGAAGTAAAAGTCTGTAATTAACCTCTCTTGATGTTCTAGGAAATACAAGTCAAGATAATCCGCTAGTTTTGATAATATATTTATTTGTCCCTCCGCTATTTTCTTTACCTTAAAAAATTAAGGATATCATGAATATTAGATAAAAGAAAAAAACACTATGAAAAAATTACTCTTCTTAAGCATAATTATCTCCAGATATAATTCATGGTAAGATTACTTCCTTTCTCTTATGTCTTATATTCTCTTAACTCATCTTCATTTAATGCAAAAGAATGAATGGGCTTCCTTTAATATTTCTCTGCTGATTTTAAAGCTTTCTTCCTCTAGCTTTAGGTAAGAAGCCTTTAAAATCCATAGGCCACTTCACCATTCTAGATTGTGATAGAGGATTGTTATTTTCAAATTTCAAATTCCAAAGAGAAGATTTAAATTTGGCAAAATAATTGAAGCTAGACATTACATAAATAGAAAATAAAACTTGCAATGACCAAAGAGCCCCCTTTTTGGTTGCAGTAGATTGCATCATAATGCCCACAGTGAAAATACTAGATTTTTCAGAAATCGGGTCCTCTCTAGCAACAATTCAACAAATGCATGTAAATGTACATCTGTGAAATAAATCTGCCACAGATCCTGCACCTGGAAATGAGGTCTCAGACAGGAAGCCATTTATTATCACAATAAATTATATCTATAATCTATAGAGACCCCCACTCCTTAAAAAAAACAAAAACCAAAAAAAAAAACCTAACTTGGAAATTATAAAGACTCACTTGGAAAAAAAAATGATGAAAGGTTGATTGGCGTATAATTCTTACAAAACTGCAAGCAGTATTTTTTTAAACATGTAGTTTAAAAGACAACATATCCATGCTTTCAGAGCTTAATTTCCTTGCATTTGTACTTAAGAATGAGACTGACTTTACCCGGTATCTAAATTAATCTCTAGAAGTAGCTAAACTATGCCAACCTTAGATTTTTAAAGCAGTATTGTGATTAAAATAGCCCTTGGAGACCTTAACTGCCTACCCATTCCCATATGCACCAGGAAGAGATGAATGTACATCTACCTCTTTTTCTCCGAGGGTTCCTACTCTTGAGCATTACAATGTGATGTAAGCTTCAATCTCTTTTGTACTTCTAAGTAGTGCAGGGAAGATTCTGGAATACAGTACTGCCTAGCTGCTCTCAGAATCTGTCTGACCGTGGAGCTTGCTGCATGTCTAGATCTCTTTTGATGATCTCCTTTTAACTAAGTTTGGGGTCTGGTCAACATGACTGCATTTTCTAAGCAGAAAAGAAAACTGCCAACATCCAAAGGCAAAAACAATAGGAATTAGAAGAACTCCAGATTCATCTTCATTTCTTCCTCCCACCTCCTTCTACTCTCCTTTTTGGCTGTGGTTATACAGGGCTCTTAATGTCCACTGCCACGGCCCACCTCTCTGCCCCCACCACCACCAAAGGCCTGAAATCAGAATCTGGGGAGGGAATCTGGGCCGTGGCAGTGTCCAGGGCTGAGGAAAACTGGCCATCCAGCCACACAGCTGGCCCTTGCTCCATGTACATCAGAGTAAGACACTCTTACAGGTCCTAACACTCAAATTCAGATGAAACTTAAAAAGAGAAGTTAGAAAAAAGTTTCTTCCTTTGTAGATGTTCCTGAATTTGTCACCTTTATCACTGTACCTACATATGAAATAACTATATAAAGCAGCTTAAAATAAGAATTCCTTCACCAAACTATTCTATAGAGAATTATATAAAATACTTCACCTATGAAAACTGTCCTATACAAAGTGAAAAAATATGTTAAAATACAAAATTAAAATGACTATTCTCGGGCTTCCCTGGTGGGGCAGTGGTTGGGGGTCCGCCTGCCGATGCAGGGAACGCGGGTTCGTGACCCAGTCTGGGAGGATCCCGTGTGCCGCGGAGCGGCTGGGCCCGTGAGCCACGGCCGCTGGGCCTGCGCATCCGGAGCCTGTGCTCCGCAACGGGAGAGGCCACAGCAGTGAGAGACCCGCGTACCGCAAAAAAAAAAAAAAAAAAAAAAAAAAAAAGACTCTTCTCAAGTTAAAGGCTAATTTGGAAATGATGTAATTTCTAGCTATTGCCAGAAATCTTTTTGTCTTGTATTACCACTTAAATTAGTCAGTACCCAAATGCCTTAGCCAACCTCACTTATTGGCAGCAAGAATTCATAGTACCGAGGGCAGAATCCCAAAATATGTAGAAGACTGTATCTCACAATGGTATGTCTTTAAAAAATGAACTCAGTACTTCTTTATGTGTGATATTTCACTGCCTTTTGTCTAGCTATTATAAGTTCGTTACCCAGTGTACTAAGTTGATTATTCCAGAATTTTTCCAAGCAAAAAGTTAGGCTGATGAGTATTTCCAGGGTCATCATCCATTTCCCTTTTTGAAAGAAGGTTCTAAATATGCCCTTTTCCAGTCTTCAGGCACCTCATCAGTCCTCCACGAGTTCTCAAAAATGATATCTAGCGGTTCTGTGATGACTTCGGCCAATTCATTAAGAACTCTAGGATGCCAGCCATTGGGACCTGTGGATTTGAACATATCGGGGTTATTTAAGTTCTCCTTTACCCATTCTTCCCCTAGTCCATCATGGATTCCTGCTCCAATTTTTAAGTCATACTTGTCCCTTTCTGGTTACCACATGGACTTCTGAAAACTAGCTTTCAGTCTCTGCTTTTTATCTATCAATTTTCTCTTTGAAGCTAATAAGAGAAAAATGTATTTTATTCTTCTCAAGCCTGTGTTTTGTTTAAAAAAAAAGGTCTACTTCTCTTTCCTTTCATGTTTCTTATAAGAAAAGGAAAGTTAAAAAGCAATAAATAAATAAAAGTATATCTTGTAATAGTTTGCCTTCCTTAAATCACATCACTGAATTCTACATTCTGGCAGCCTTAGTCATAGGTAACAGTCAACATACTGCAAAACATTTCAAAGGGGGCTTCCCTGGTGGCACAGTGGTTGAGAGTCCGCCTGCTGATGCAGGGGACACGGGTTCGTGCCCTGGTCCGGGAGGATCCCACATGCTGCGGAGCGGCTGGGCCCGTGAGCGAGCCATGGCTGCTGAGCCTGCGCTCCGCAATGGGAGAGGCCACAACAGTGAGAAGCCCGCGTACCACACACACACAAAAAAAACATTTCAAAGGCTACCTAGCTCGTGCTCAGAGGGTACATATCTATCCAGCTTGTCTGTGCAAGTGCTAATTCAAAATGTACCTTCCAAAATAAAAAAAGATTCACAATCATCTTTAATCTTGATTTGTATGCACATAACTTTAACACATAGGCATTTAAAAAGCATAGTTGTGCATGAACTGGAAAGAGATGAAGGATTTCTTACAAACAGTAAAACCTAGTTGAATTCATCTGCTATTGTGTGGTCATCTGCACCAGTGCTCTGGGATTGATATTACACTAATTATCTCCAAGCTCTGATCTGTGTTGACAGTTTTAACCCCTTTGTGGTCACCATGATTCCTCCAAAATTGAAAGACAGCAACAGATTACAGTTTCCTGCCCATCTGTCATAGTTATGCCCTGGGCCTAGAATCCCTTGACAGATCGAGAATGGACAAAGGAGAAGGGAAAAAAAAGAGTGCAAAGGAAGAATGAGGATGCCTGGGTCTCTCCTATGGTTTCTGATATGACATGCAGGCTGTGCTGGTTGGATTCCACGATTTTCTTGTTGTTGTTTTTTAACTGGAAAAGCTTCTGGAAATGGTTGAATCAACTTTGCTGTCTTTTGTTTTTGTTTTGTTTTGTTTTTCTAGTCTATATCTCTCCAGTGGTACTCCCAGTTTTATCTCTTGCAAAAAAAAAATCATATTGCAGGCATTATTAAGACTTTTAAGAAACAATTCTGTGTATTTCTCTAGGGCATAATCATTTGTTTTAGCATGTGCCATCTTCACCCTTGCTCAAAGCTGCCAAAGGCAATATGTTAACTAATATGTCACCATTAATTACTTTGGGTAATATCATTCGGCAGTTGCATCTAAATGGATAGGAAGTACTACTAGCCACGCCAGGAAGTTTCTTTCTCCAGAAAATCAAGCTGTTTTCAGGCCTTTTTCACCCCTGTAAGACCAAGTAATAATATCTTACTACTCACTAATATATTCACAAAGTCACTCAGAGAAACCCATACCCAAGCCAATCAATGCCTCTATGAAAACCAAACTCCTGTTATAAACTATGTAAAAGTAATGTTCAATCTGTCTTGACAAACTAAGCTTTTTTTTTTTTTTTGAGGGGGGAGTGATCAAAGTTACCTTAACATGAAGACGGCAAAACTGTTTCATTTTTAATGCTCTGATGAATGAATGAATGAAAAAGCATTGCAACAAAAATTGTATTTGCTATAGAGTGCAAGCTAACTTGCTATTTCTATCTGAAAAACCAGAAAGAGCCTCAGGTTACAGCATTAGGGTTACTAAGACCTCAGGAAGACTACAGCTGAATTCTGAAGGGGTCACAAAGGAAGGAGGCAGCATCTTGAGGACATTCTTACTAAAATGATTCTCAGATGTCTGCACCGCACCTGATAGGCTCTGCCTGAAGTCAGCAAGATGACCTTGTCTACTGTTAAAGGTCATTTTATTCCAGGAACCTGTGGAAATAAAGAAAACGCCTTTGTACAGACTATCATCTTAGTAAACGGGCAGACACCCTCCACCTTAAACTTATGTAAAGATGTGGACCACGAAATCATTCACAAATCTAGCATCAACCTAACAGCCTCGGAAACCTCTTGTGTCTTTGGTTCAACAAAAATAAATCACATTCATTAAACAAGCCCAGCCGTGCAATTTGCTACTTTTCATTCTTTGGGGGGGTGGGGGTGGGGGTGGGAGGCAAACAAGATTTCCACAGTTGGGTCATGGAGAGTTTCAAGATGTGACAGCAGTCGCAGAGAACAGTAATTAGCTGAGCACATGGTGCTTCATGATCATAGGAAACGTGAGTAATTTCCATGCTAGGAAGCCTCCTTGGAGCTCTGGCGCCCGGCATGCATTGTGACATCCCAGATCCTTTTCCTTACAGACCGCAGCCCTCAAGACGAATAGAAATGAACAGATGTTTACAACTCTGACCAGCTTTAAGGAGATAACTGCTAGAAACACGTCTTACGGGCAAACAAGCGATGCCAGTCCAGCCTCATTTCACAGAGCTGCTCCTACCACCTCACATTTTTTCCTTTCATTTTCCCCCCTAAATAATCCGGCATACTCCTACAAAGAAAAAAGCCCTTTCTTCACTCCACCAAGAAAAATAACAATCTGTTTATATGTGTTTACAGCCTTCTTTGGATATGACTAGGCTGACTTAACAAACCATGAAAGGAATTGCCTCAAATCTGGTCCTTTCTCAAAATTCATAAAAGTCAACCTCTGGACCAATAAACAGCAAGTTATATTTTTGGTTCTACTAATGCTCCTGAAGTTTTCCTGTTTTTAAAGTTTGTAAAAATTGAATGCCAGCGGTTTGTATTATGCCAAATTATTATCTCTGTCTACGGAAACATTACTAAAAGGTTTATACTCTGGTTTGGCCTAATTCTTCCCCAATCTGCCTTTGAGCCCACTCTCAGATAGTCCTACATCAGGGCCATACAAACCTAATTCTTGGGCTGAACTGTGACTTTGTCAGTTTTATTTGCTCTAAGCTCTTATGGGGGATGGGAGGGGTACAGGGACAGTCTTTCATTTCATAGATACCTGGCAATTCTAATCTATGTTAGAGTTCCAATCTGAGAAACTGAGGGGGTGGGCAGGGGTGCAGAAAAAGTTATTTAAGGAATACAGAAACTATACTCCTGTGGTTAAAAATTAAGTGTTATGAGATTACATTTTCTTTTTTCTCAGTTGATTATTCTGATTTTTAACTGGCTTCCAGTCTGTTGCTCTTTTCAGCTTGTGATTTTCCGCCTAATTAAAAGGCAATCAGAGTTATATGCAGGCTAAACCATTTAGAAGTTATTTCTCTATTGTGATATTAGTTTAAAGGATGTAGCTCCATTGCAGATGCAGAACCAATGAATTCTCCACATGTGGTGGCTGAGATAAAAAAAACTGGTGACTGTACAATAATAGGCCATGCAACTCCCTTGGGGGGGCGGGGAGGGAGGGGAAAGACTCTCTCATAGGAAAGAATTAATAAAGAACAATGGTGCAAATGTTGCCTTCTCTCCTCCTGGATGGCACATGGCACACAAATCTGAACCTTTGGGTGGTTGGTATAAGACAAGATGTTTTTGCCGCATAACTTTCTCAACATGCAGCCATGTCACACTACTTATTGTTATGGAACCAAGTAAGGTTGGTAATTTGATAAGAGACCGGGGAGGTGGATGGGTGTAAATACAGCCTCATTTTAGCTGTAAATTTCTCCAAAGGCAGAAACCACATTTTACACTTCTTTCTATCTGCCTCGGGAATATTATATATAGCATGTCACACACTTCTACTGCTGATTCAACTGTCCACAGTATAATTTTTACAAACAATTTCTCAGTAAACGAAGCTGCTATTGAGAAATGTTAGTCTAGCAAGTCAGATAGGAGTATAGTTTCCTTTGCCTACACAACAGAGAATAAAATAGCAACATGTTCACTAAACCCATCTGCATCTTCACAGTCATCTTTCAGTTCCTCGAAAGGCCTCTGGGGGCGGCGGGGTCACCTCTCAGCTGCTGGGAAGGCTGAGGCTGCCTCCCAGCCCGCAATAGGCTGGAGGATGCAATGTTATGTTGCGCAATGAGCTGGCATATATGTCCTTTTCTCTACAGGAGTCTTACAGCGTAGGTTTCCAGGGATTCTATAGAAAAATGTTTGGCCTGCTCCAGAATGATCCACGTATATTTTCTTTTTCTGACTTTAAACACAAGTACCCAGACGCATTATAAACCATTCTGTACAACTATCCTGCCTCCATCTATGGTGTGTACTTGGTAAGTACTGATTTACTGTCTAATTCCTGGAACAAATTAAACAGGTTATAATAAACTGAGCGGCTTCTCGCCACCTTCTCTGGACCCACAAGAGTTCTAAGCTTCACTCAGGACTGAATCTGCAGGTTTTAAGCAAATGGAAAGTATACTGGAGAGGATGGAAATTTTCCTATCCCTTATTCAGAAAACTCTCAGGAACAAATTCAGAGGTTAAAAGACAAAACTGGCTTTATTTATGCTCTCCTCAGGGCATTCACCGATTTTATAATTTTTCCAACTGAATAGCTATGTAAATTCCTGATTTCTTAAAAGCACTTTGTTATAGTCATCGCTGACATATTCTGAATATGCTAAATTCCCCCCACATGGAGGACAGCCCACAGGGCTGTGGTCGGCAAGTGGCACCAAACTCCAGGAGACCAGGCTTCAGAGGCCCGGGACCTCCTCGCTGCCCAGAGTTGGGGCATGTCTTATCTCTACCAGGAAGAAATCATCAGGAGTTTAACTGTTGGGAATTCTGAATTCTTCTTTCAACAATTTTATAATAATTAACAGCTGGTCACAACATGAAACTGGGGCT